GGGGGTAGGGCTTATATTATGAGCATCCTGAAAAATCATACTAAGGCTTATTTTCAGGTTAGGTCTTATTTTTGGAGAAACTGGGTATGAATGAAATTAAAGAGTTCATGGACTTCCACAGTCTAGGGAATGCTATAGCCAGTCTATGAGGAACACACTGCTTCAATACATTCAGCAGCTGGAATTCTTTTATTAACTCAGGATTACATCATTAGACAAAACTCTGACAGCTGGCACAACTGATAAAGCTGGCAGTGGACTCAAGATAAAGTGGAGAAGGGAGGAAAGGAATTACAAGTTAAAACATTTTCATTTTGGAACCTATATTTAATTTCTTGGTATTGCAGTGTTTCCTCATTGAAGGCATGTACAGTGGTGCCTCGCTTGATGAGGATAATCCGTTCCAGCAACATCGCTGTAGAACGAAATCGTCATCAAGCGAAAGTAAAAAAACCCATTGAAATGCACCGAAAACCGGTTCAATGCGTTCCAATGGGTGAAATACCTCAGCGTCCCAGCGAACATCCTCCATAGGGTGACTATTTTCCGGTGCCTGTATAGCAAGGAATCCGTCCTAAACCACAGCGGAGAGCCATTTTGCGCAGCGGGTGGCCATTTTGAAAACCCAATGATCAGCTGTTTTGATCGTCATTAAGCGAAAAATCAGTTCCTGAAGCAGGGAACTGATTGTCGTTAAATGAAAAAAAAACCCATACAAACATCATTTTGCGATTGCTATAGCGATCACAAAATACTCATCGTTAAGCGATTTCCTTATCTAACGAGGTAATCGTCAAGCAGGGCACCACTGTAATCTTTTTTGTTGTTATGTGCTGTCAAGTCACATTTGACTTATGACAACCCTAATAAATACATGGGCTACTTAAGAAGCAGTTTTACTAGTGTCAAGATGGCTGGATTGCTCAGTAGATTTTGTATCTAGTTATAGAGTCCAAGGTTTGAGAATATGATTCCCCACTCTGCTTCCAGGGAGAAGAGCCAGCCTGTGTAGGCATGGGTAAGCTGCATAGTCCTAGGACACCCCCAGAATAAGGGAGCAGTAAACCACTTCTGTGTATTTACCTAGAAAACCCTGGAAAAAGTCAACTTAAGTCAGAATCAGCTTGACAGCACACTACAGTACTATTATTAATCAGTGTCACCTCTAAGTGGGTTTCCATGGCTGAGTGGAGAGCTGAACCCAGTCATCCTAAGCCCCATTACACACTTTACTAGCTTATACTAAAAACTTAAAGGACACAATTTATTGGAAGGTCTACAGATACAAGAAATTAGGTTTTCAACTTATAGATTTTATTTTTAATAATTTTTAAAATAAAATATGGGATATAAATATATCACACCATACATGCTTAGTATTTTAAGAGGAACTGCTCTGCTAGCAGCAAAAATTAGATTACTTTAGCACCTGGGCAGCCTAAGTTTGTATGTGCCAAAGCCCATTACAGCAGATTTATGCAACCATGTTCACCACGTATATTGCTTGCATCTAATTGCATTTAGCATATCTATAGTTGAATTAATACTTATGGCTTTTTTTAAATGTGTACAATAATACACATGAAACTGATCAGTTTCTGCTAAATCTGAAAATTCTAAAATAAAAGTCTCAAAATTTAAAAAAAGTGCCATTCATCAAAAAGAGTTCTAAAATAAAAACAAGTGTTAACTCATTCGTGGTCATCATGGTCCAAGTCTGGAAGTCTGCTATCTTAATATGCCAGGAAGGTCACAAGCCACTAGTGGTTCCCTTTACAAATTTAACTCAAAGTTTGTAGAAACAGATTTGCCTTTAGGAAAAAGAATCACCCAATCCAGCTTCCACTGATGGAAAAGCAAGAACGATGTATCTGAGCTGTCCGATTTTTACTGTCTCATTAAAAATCAATTAGTTCAAACATTTATGTAATCTTACTTCTGAAAATCTAACATGAAGAATTACGACCACTAGGTTTCTCTGAATTTCAAACCAAGTTGCTCCCCAAAACCGATTTCTGCTACCTGCACAGGACACTTTAAAAAGAGGAGCAAGCAAAAATCAAGAAAAAGACTTCTTTAACTATATAAACAGTGTAAAATGAGAAACTGCTGTACAGTAACTCTGTTTGATAGATACCGAAACATATCTGAAACATATGTCTAACTAAATGTTTGTAGCAATAAAGCCTGACCATGGTCCAGTGCATAACAATGCTCTCTGTGGGCAGGAGGAGACCCAGGGAGAACCGCTTTGGCTACAACCACTGCATGGACTCCATCTCATTGTACAAAGCAGCTTCTTTACCTGAGCTGCTTTGTTTCTCTCCCTCCTCCTCCTCCTCCAAACGCTTATACAACCGCAGAGGGTCCTCCTCGGCTTTCCAAACAAACGCCATGTCTTTCTGCCCACCACCATCCTCTCCCGCCACCCCCCCCAACGCTCCTATCCGTACAACAACAACAACAACAAAACACAGGAGGTTAAAAAACGGGAGGGGGGAGAGAGAGGGAGAGCGCTCAGTTCCCCTGATCCATCCTTCCACAAGCAAATCTCCAGGGCTAAAGGGGAGGGAGGGAGAGTGGGATACTAAATGGATGCCATCTCCGAGGCTAACCCGCCATCTCGCCTTTTAATCTCCAATCCCACCCATCCCTCTCTGCCCCCCCTCCCCAACCCAACGCGATCTTCTTACTGAATCCCTATCTCCCATCCCATAATTCTCCCCAGCCCCTACGAGCGATGCGAAAACGCGCGCAGTTTTCTAGACCAGATCCTGTTGCAACCGATAAACGTGTTTTTTTTCTAGAAAGCCAAGAGGGACCCCCCCTCTCTCCCTGCGGTCCCCCTTTTCCCTGCGCCATATCCTGATAGGCGGGCGGGCGGGCGGACGGGCGCGCGAAAACGGAAGACAGGATTCGCCTCGCACCTCAGGAAAGGGGGAGGGGAGCTCGCCCTCGCGCCAGCCTCACGCAAGCAAGCAAGCAAGCACGGCCCCTCCCTCGACGCAGCCCAATTCCCCCGGGCGAACACGCCGGTCGCCTCGCCCCGCCGGGGGGGGGGGGGGAAGGAGGGCCTGTTCC